CAGCGGAATAGCAAGTAAAATTCTTCACTGATTGGACCACCTATCTGACAACTTGAATGCGAACGAAATCGAAATCTGAAGTCAACCTTGTGTCCATTACTGCACTGCATAGTCAGCTGTCAAGTGAGTCACAACGAAGTACAGACACAACGGGCGCTGGCATCCGTAGGCATGGTCGGACTCCTCATCCATTCCAGACCAGAATATCATGCTGTTTATATTATTTGAAAGTCACCGACTTACTACCAGTTTCTCTGCTAGTTCAGATGAAACGACGTTTGGTCAGTTCTTAGCTCATGGAAATTAACAGCTAAGAGAAAGATTGTTCTTTGAAGGAATACGAAGCCGGTAGCACCGAGTTCAAAGCGAAGGTCTTAGGTACTGTGCCACCATGACCGATGATACTGCCCCCAGTTTTGTGGATTTCCATCTTGTACTAATTATCGTACACCTAAATCGCTCAGAGTAAACAGATGGTTCAAGTAGGTCATGGGAATTCAGAAAAACTGCACCTTTACACCGATAGTTCTTCAGCTGTTCCTCATGGACCAGTGGCAATACTGATGTATTGGCCAAACCTTGGGTAGATTTCTTTCGGTTATGCGATTCGAAAATATTTATGCATGTTTTCATAAACAGTTATGTTTACTTCAAGAATTTAGGAATCCAGCTGGCAATAGCCAGGTGCGACATAAGTCGCAACTATTATTTGGAATCATACTCGAAAAGACGATTCAAAACAGGAGACAGCATTCGCAGAACGAAGAAAGAGATGATACCGGCAATAACGGCAATAGATCGCAAGTTAAACGGCACACTACTGTATGAGAATGGCTCGGGGACAATCGAAAACAAGCTTGCAAAAGAACTTAAACGATGCAGTCGTCTAGAAGAGGAGAAAAAGCAGCTGGCGCAGCAACTTGAAGTAGAAAAGAAGGCCACCAAAGACGAAGAGATTGTGCGAAGGCTGGCCGTGCAGTAAGATCTTTTCCTAACCGCATTATGCTAAACAGGTTGGCAATTTCAGGATGATAGAAGACGAAAGAACGGAAAAGGAGCGATTGCTAATGGTCTGCAGGGAGCTACAACATGAGCTGGACAAAGAGCGGAACGAGCGGAAGGATTTGGAAACCAGATTGGCCATGAAACGAGCAGAGATGGAGAAAGTAAAGCACCGTCTCAAAAACATTCTCAACAGCGATACGGGCGATTATCTGATAGACCGGAGCCTGCCTAGAACTTTCAGGTATCGTTGCAGAATGCATACGAGTTAAACGTTTATGCTTTCAATGATGTGAACATCACCATGAGCAGTTTGCATTAGCAGAATGTTTCTGATTTGCGATGTTTCCTGCATTTTTAGCTTTTAATAGCTTTGGCTCTGAGGCAGCGGTTATTGCGTCGTAAAAGAAAATTTCTTTTCAAAATTTGATCTGCCTCCATGTTTTTCTTTTGAGTTACACGCTGGTCGCATGTAGATGGGCACCATTAATTGATTCCTCCGTGAGAACGTCGAAAGCTGAAATGAAGGATACATGCCCACACGAGTTTTTTAACAGTCATTCGCCTTTCCTTAACCTCTGCAACTACTGAAGATACCTATGCCTATCCGCAATACAGGCATGATCTTGCAATTTAATCATAGAACTCAATTTATTACGGGTCGAAGAGAGTGGATAGTGTTATCGTACGTTATTAACCGTCATCGTTACTCCAACAGCTATTTCACTTTAGACATCATTATTACCCGTAGGCAAATGGTTGCATCAAAATTATCAACAGAACAACTAGAAGTGTAATAATGTTAATTAAATCGTTCTTTTCAGTACTTTCATCTTTCATTTGACTTGCCCTCTCTGAGAGCGCAAAACTTAGGCAACTTTAATTATTCTTTTCCTTCTTAAGCATTTTCTGGTGAGTAATTATAAAGGGAGACATTTGGGATGCTAACCCTTCAGAGGAGTGAAGAGCTATTTTAAGGTCTTGATCACGGAGAGAAAACATTAGCGAGAGGTGAAAAATCAGTCTCAAACTACCAGAGCGTGTTCCTGCTACACCATTTTCAGGCCATCATTATAGCAGGACACTTCGGTGCCTTACTCTGCCCAACCTAAACATGTAATTTTCAAATATTTTTTTGCATATTCTGGCATAACAGTGCGGTATGCGATTCTTCGTCGATTCTTTAAGTCATACTAATAATTTTAGAACTAAGGCAATGGAAATATCAGAGCTTCGAAATGAAATCCTGAAAGGAACATGAATGCCGAATGGTTGATTAAAACCCAGTAAACAGGGTACTCGCAGACGACTCGTTCCAGAAACACCATTCTGAAGAAAAAGAAAGCATTCTAGCTTATAGCGCATTCAGAGAACGCAATGGTCATATTACTAAATGCTCAGCTATGATCTACATCTGCTGGAATTTTGTTGGCATAGTTTCGGTGTATAATAAATATAATTAACTCTCAAAACGAAACATTAATATAATACATGGTAAAACTTATAACAAAGTGGCAAGCATAAGAAAGTCACACTTGTAACAGCTGCTTACAATTAACCAGAAAACATCGTCGCTCATCGTTCGTCTTCCAGCACGTAATTCGGATGCACAACAATGATAGGATCAGATTCTACAGGTTCTTCAGCAAATTCGGTAGACGTGGAAAGTTCGATCAGAACATTATCCTTAAACGATCATAATGTTCAATGGTTTGACTTGCCAAAGGTCGAGTTATAATTACTTTGTGAACCAGCCTGTCGATAACTTTTTCTGTCAAATCTCTTTTCAGCAACAGTTCTTCTTCTGTGTCGATCTCGTCCTGGATCTCTTGTAGATACCAGTTAATGAGATCAGACTTTCGTATCCCACCATCACCGACATCTGTCAAACACTACAGCCTTTGCACAACATAAGGGAAACGACAAAACAATAAGGACATTATTTTACATTATATCAACAGCTGAACTTATTTCGTAGAAAGGAAATAATCTTGTCATGTCCACACTAAGTGCAAATCTTCAACAGAGGAAAAAAGCAAACACGTTTAAAACTTTAGGATCAATTATATTCTATCGTAACTATTTATATTCATTGTATATGCATGATTATTAAACGACAAAAGTATTAATATGACAGTATTGACAATATTCTGTTAAACAATAGACCTGGAACGTTTCGAATCATACCCAATTCGCCTAAAGGGAGCAAGCAAGGATACCATTGGCCACCGAAGTACCCCGTGCATTAATTTCACTTTTTTTCGGACGAGTTTTACATACATACACATACTAATTCCCATTTCTGTAAACAAGCAGAAACTCTATTGAGGGCATTATGATAAAAAAAATAATATGATAATCAATTTATTCATCTCGTAATATCTACGCTTTAAAGTGCATTATATTCCCAAAGGCTGAAGCTTTGTTATTCAATAGAACTGAACATTTGCTGTCATGTCGTAACAGATCTTCATGTTGATGAAAAGCAATGTATCATAACTGACAACAGCAACTCCCTTCATAATTAAACGGAGATTAACACTGCCTAGTTTTTACCCACGCTCATGTCTCGCATGATTAGTCGCAGTAAGTTTCAATTTCTCTCATTTAGCTCATCGTCCCATCTGAGCTGAGATCTTCCAGTTGGGCGATCAAAACCCGTTGGACACAGATCCGTCACCAGTGAAGTCTAT